AACACTTTTTTTTTCCTGATGAAAGAAGAGAGTCTACTCTTTCTTTTGGTGTGTTCGGTGTTTACATAGTCATAGCACAAACTATTCTGTGGCTCTTGAAAAATCTGTCAAAATGCTCAAAAAACTCTGGCAGTATGGGATTCTGTTCTAAAAATGGCTGGCAGTCAATGAGTTAAAAAAAAAACAACTGTTTCAACATTTAGTAACCACATTCCCACTGACAGCTAACGGAGACAAATCAGATAAGAGATATCAAAGGCTAAATCCATAAGTGATCGTTTTCTAGACCCGAAAGTAACATGGCCTCATACGTGTGTTTTCCTAAGGAGCAGAGCAGCTTTTCTGACTTTAGCTACAAGCTCTGAGACAAAAGCTGTCAGAACAACACTTCTGGGGGAACTGACATCTGACCGGAGTCTGTCAAACCCCAGATTCAACAGCTCCCGTTCGGCTGAAAATGGGCTGTCAACAGCCGGGTTTCAGGCCGCGACTCGTCCCACAAAAGAAATAATCCGACATCTTGTTGGAACACCAGCTCCTGGAATTCCCACCCCGAGGTGAACCGAGGCAGATAGAGATCCACCTCAGGGAGGAATTCTGCCGGAGATCTGCTTTAGATTCAGAGGGGCAGAGCCGGGTTTAGGGGATGATGAGAGTCAAAACCAGATGCTACGTTATGCTAGCTTCCCTCGTTCACACAGGGACTTTCCACAGTTCTTTATTTAGATCCTACTGTAAAATGGCAATTAAGTGACTCCCCTGGTGTTTCCTCTCATTTTAAATATGGCCGCATGACCCTCTCTCGACACTCCTCCATTTGAATGTTTTCCTTCCATTGTGCACATTTAGTCAGTAACTTAATATACGTAACTTTTAGCAAAAATCCGATCATCGATGACAGTCAGTTCTGCTAAAATGTTCCTGCACTCAATGATATTTTCACATATAAGGTACTGCATCACAACCTACTCACTCACTGGAGACACAACTTTAAAACCAATAGATATATTATTTTAAAAAATCTTTAAAAATCTTTGGTCAAAAGCCCCTGTCATTCCATCAGTGTCATATTTTGGAAAAATATAATATGCTCAATTTGACAATTTTATTCATTTTGAAAATAGTTGTTTAATTTACAAAGTTCCGAATGGATTAGCCCCCCCTCCACTTTCTACCTACATTAGACCCAGAGACCCCCCACAGAAGAACAACCTCTGGACAAACCTCTACCAGTCAGAGGGGGTCACTTCTGGAATAAACTCCCAACAAACATCAGGGAATGTCCCACTTATTGCACATTTAAAAAGCACCTTAAACAGTTTCTTAAAAGTTCCCAGTCATGCACTCACTGATTTTATTGTTGTGATGTCATTGTCAGAACGTGTGTCTGTGTGTTTGGACTGATGTTGTATTTTGTGATTTTGTGTTGTTTTGTCTTCCTGTCTCTGGACCACAGATTTAAATGAGCAACTATGCTATAATCTGGCTCATTTACAATCTGTACAGAAGTGTAAGATTGTTCATTATCATTCATACCTGCTGCTACCAGACTGTGCAATGCTGCACTATAACAACTGATGTGCAATTGTCTTATATTTATTGACCTGTGTAATATGTGTACTGTGTGTGAGCCATCACTGATTGTATACATTTCAGTCACTCAAATCTCTGCGCTGTGTTGCTTCCTTGTATATTTGTTTGTTTTTGCTGTTTGTACTTCATGCACCTTTTCCTCGTTTTGAACTGTCTTTAGCCACTAAACCGATGTGTGACCAGTGAATTTCTCCACTGTGAGATCAATAAAGCTCTTATCTTATCTTATTAATGTCCACTGTCCTGATTAAATAAATAAATAAATGAAAATAAATAAACTTCAAAAGGAGCCCGTTACAAAGAGTTAGCCCTCGGCTATGTCTCACCTTTACGTAGTCTTTGATAAAGCTGGCCGCTTTGACTCCGGTCTCCACGTTGAAGCTGATGTCTACCTTCACCTCCGTCTCCTGGTCCGTCAGCTTGATGATGGGAACCTGAAAACAGATTGGGAAAATATTCAAGAACAAATTACATTCTGATCCTCTGAATAAACTGCAGGCC